TGGAAAGATGTCATTGGACCGCTCACCATGTGCAATGATGGGCACTCCGATGACATCCTCAGGAAGGGGTTGGGGTGCCCGGTGTCCAGTTGCCCCTCCCCTTCCTTGGCTTGAAGACGGCGCTTTGCACCATCTGCAAAGCCCCTAAAACAAACAAACAAACAAACAAAAAGATCAATTACTAACAATTCAAATTGTGGGTTTTAATTCTAGGTATTGTTTAATTTTCTTTTGGTAGCTATTTTTAATTGTATATTCATTTTTGTAAGCTACCTTGGGTACCAATATTGGTAAAAAGGTGGGATATGAATGTTTGATGGCTATGGCCATTCAGCTATCAGATCAAGTGCTTATTTTTGTCTCTCTTTGGGCCTCGGCAGATGACTAATAAAGTCGTCTCTGAGGCAGGGAAGAGGAGGGGCAGCAACACGAGCGGTGCCCCTTCCTCCTCTCGAGGTTGCCCTCGGAGCTGCTGGCCCTCTGCATGGCCGGCGCTCTGAGGGCAACCTCCTGCCACAGCGTCCACACACGCTGCGGTGGAAAAGTCAGGGAAAGTGTGCCCTACACTTTTAGGGCGCACTTTCACTGACTTCTGAAAGGAGCGCTATTTTTGCGCTCCTTTCAGAGGCACCGACGGTGTGCCTCGGTGCGGCTGCCGTGGTCCCACGGTGCACCGTCCCAGGGCGTCCTGGACGCCCTGGTCTGCTTAGGGGGTTTCTCTCTTTACTTTCCTCAGTCCGATAAAAAACTCAGGCCATCTGTATCATTGTTTGTTTGAATTGCGCTTCATTTTGTTGGCCTCTATCTGTTACATTATTAATTCCTTCCAAGCAAGGGTTCAGCACACCAACAGCTTCACCTGAATCAAATGAAAAAAAAAATGTATATAATTGGCTTTCAAGACACCTTCACTCCCAATTTCTGGATTACCTTATTCAATAGGTTAGGCATTAAACATAATCTTTTCTCACACTTTTCCCCATCCTATTGCTGTGTATTTCACTGGAAAAAATGAAAAGAGATTGCCAAATGCTAGCAGACCACCTCTTAATCATTTTCCCCACTGATGAAGCATCAACCAACCATCTTGGATTATTCACTAACAATCTGCCTGACAGGAATGCAAGTAGCATTTCAACATACTTACTTTCTCCCTACAGAGTTCAGTGGGACTGATTTGCAAGTCAGGGGGAAAAATGATTGCAGTGTCATCACTGTTGCTGCACAGCCAATATAATATCTTCAAATACAACCTGACACTAATATTGTTATTGTGTGTCTTCAAGTCATTTCCATCTTATAGCAACTCTATCATGGGGTTTTGACAGGTTTCTTCAGAGGGGGTTTGCTATTGCCATCCTCTGAGACTGAGAGAGTGTGATTTGCCCAAGGTCACCCACTGGGTTTACATGGCTGAGCTGGATTTTGAACCCTGATTTGCAAAGTCAAACCACTACACTACACTGGCATTGACATTAATATTGCAGGCACATATTTGAAATGAAAATATGATCATCTCAATTTCACCTAGGTATGCATTACTGCATTTCCAATGGTCAGTCTTTTTTTACTTTGCTAATAGAACATTTTCAATGAGTTTAATACTAATAGTACTAGTAGGAATTGTTATACAAAATGTGAGAACAGATTAGTAATTGTTTTCCTTCAACTGAACTGACATCTGTACTGTTACCCTAAAAGGTGGGGGACATTGGGGACCCCACCAGCAGTGTCAGTGTCTCCCTACAATTTTGGGGAAATTATAGCTCAAAAGGAGGCTTGTGAGAGGAGGGTAACTTCAAGGATCTTTTCACCTGGGTACACAAGTACTAACTGCAGAAAGACTCCTGTTTCAGTAAATAGAAGGGCTTTATTTAGAAATGTGTAAATGTGCATACAAACACACAAAACCAGAGCAGCTTTAAGAACCATACAAGGCTAATAGCAAGAAAGGTATAGAAGGTTGTAAGAAATAGGGCACGGGTAGGCAACCTCTTTAAGTGCCGAGGGACTTCAGTTCCCATAATCCCAGGAGCTATTGGCCAACATGGGACTATTGGCCAACATGGCTAAGGCTTCTGGAAGCTGATGTTCCTTGGCCCTTAAAGGGGAAAGGTTGCCTACCCCTGAAATAGGGAATTAGGCAATAATTACCAGTCTGAAGAGAGAGTTCCATGGAAGATGCAGAATGGGTCAGACAGTGACTGAGGGCAACACAGTGACGTTAGAGCTGGGAATTATATGAATATCCTATTTCATAGCCTCAAGGGATATATGATGCTACCACATGGTGTAACAAAGGTTTTGATAGTTGATTGACAAAAGGAGCTGGATTGGTTGATGGCTTTAACTTTGGAGTGACAAACCATTGATAGGATTTGAGACAATCCCTAGATAATTGGACAGGAAGGGTGGATAGGAACAAAGCATGGGGTGAGATAGAGGTGTGGTCCTTAATGGTTTTTGATGGTACTCACTTAATCTCCATTGTGGGCGGAAGTGTAAAGAGCCTGGGTGGATTGGACTGCAAACTCATTAAGTGTTTATTTGAGCACTATCTATTTCTCCTACATGTCCTTAGGTCAGTGTGACCTTTTACCTAGTTTCCAAGGATCATTTTGACTTCTCAAAAACATGCCCAATGTGGTTATACCCAGCTATAGGGATGCAGAGTGTGCTAACAGTACTGATGTTTTAAGTATATCAGCAGTTTAACCCTGGCCTCTGACTAGAATTGTACAACTGTTTCTGAAGTTCCACTGGCTGCCTAAGCAAGACAATCCTGAAGATCTTCAAGTTAAAAACTAAGGGCATCTGCAGACCAGCCCAAAGAGCTGGCCTGTGGGTAGAGTTGGGGCAGGGTAGCCACATGCTGGCTGCGTCAACCCCATGCCGATCTGATGATGCGTGCTGTTACACATGGCATGTGGCATCAGGATGCCTTCCTGGTGCAGTGTTTAAACACACTGCACCAAAAGGGCAACGAAGAGCCATGGCGCTAGTTCTTATGGTGGCCTTTTGCCGCCCCTAAAAGGAGCAGCATTTGCTGCTCTTTTCGGGGTGGCAAAAGGGAGGATTGTGGCCACGGCGTGAGGTTGCCATGGCCCAATCTGCCACTTCCTGGGGCAGCTCTGTGCCACTCATCTGCAGAGGCCCTATAACTGTAAATATATAAAAAAACCTTTGTTTTAATTAAAAAATGTAAAATCAATAGTAGAGCTCAGTGTCACCCACATATTGATGGCATCAGACCCCCAACCCACCAACCAGCTTACCCAGTGATTTCATGTATATAGTATGGAGGACCAAACCAAGTTCTGAGGGAACTGACAGGCCAAAGACAAGGGATCAAATAGTAGTGTACAAGCATCACCTGAGTTTGCCCTATAGAAAGGAACAGTTACTGTAAAACAGTGCCTTCAATACCTATCCCATGACTGGTGGTATTGAAAGCTGCTGAGAGGCCTGGTAAAACCAAAAGGGACAAACTATCCCATCTCATTCCTGGCATAGGCCATCTAGCAAGATAGCCAAACTTGTTTCTGTCCCATAGGCAAACGTGAAACCACACACCAAAACATTGAATGTTCAAAACTGGCTGGTAATTGTGAAATATATTAAATTCCAAAGAAAGGCTCTTAAAAAAACTAATTAGCAATCTCTTTTAGACATGATGGAACTAGAATTTTCTGCACCATTGAACTCTATTTTTTAAAAGTATTTTTTTTCAGACAAAGGCCATTTTAATGTTATGTTAACCATCATAAACTAACCCAAACAATCATTTATAGTAATATCCTGAGAAAGTAAAAAAATAAAATTTTCCCATAGTGAATGAGACTAATGTTCCATTTTATTTCTGTATTTGAAACAAACATACAAGTAATTGATCCCTTGTAACATTCTCCCACATCATTTTGTAAGATGTTATTAGCCCATAGGGGAAAAATTATTTTCTGTTATGATCTTGGCTAATAACTATGGGTTACTATCATTCTCTGTAATTGTGTGTATCTCACACATGTCTCAAGCTTTGTCCTTTAAAGTTGCATGAAATATGATGCATGCAATCCAGTGTGTCACACACTACCAGCCCATTCCTGCTGAGGGAATTTTGGCTGACTGCCAAGAGTACTTATTTATTTAGCAACAGTGACCCAGTTAAGCCGAATGACCACTCTGCACTATGTTTTCAACTGTTCAAAATATCGTACAGAAAGTAAGAGTAGTAGTGAACCAGCTTACTTCTGTTCCTGTTTTGTAGCTTTTCTGCCATCTTTTCCTAGGCTGCAGCAGCACTGCAGCAAGAATCCAGTTTGATATCACTTTAACCGCCATGGCTCAGTGCTATGGAATTCTGGGAACTGTAGTTTTGTGAGACATTTAGCCTTCTTTGTCAAAGAGCTCTGGTGCAACAACAAACTACAATTCCCAGAATTTCATAACATTGAGCCATGGCAGTTAATGTGGTGTCAAACTGGATTATTTCTGCTGTGTGGATGCAACTCTAGATAGGCAGATCATTGGCTTATTACTCAGAGTATAGCTAAAAGAACTATAAATAGGTACCATTTTTACTGCATTATGTTCAGCTCTGTGTACTATTAGCAGTATCAGTTGTCTGGTTCATGATGCTTCTGCAGAAAAACATATACAGATGCAGAAGGTATACATATAGTTATTCGCCAAAGAAAAGTATAGAAAAATGACTGCATGATATACCTTTGTGGCAAATGAACTTTCAGTATCTATCTGTGCAGGCTTTTGGCCTACTCTTAGATGACTTTTGATTCTAGAAACAGAAGAAGTAGGGCACACACTTGGTAACTGAAACATGCAGGTGTGATCTCACTTCTCACTTGTGTTGTTCTTGTTAGGTGCCTTCAAGATGATCCTGTCATAGGGTTTTCCTGGCAAGATTGATTCTGACAAGGTTTGGCATTGTCAGCCTCAAAAGCTGAGAGTGTGTGACTTTCCCAAAGTCACTCAGTAGATTTCTATGCTTGAACAGGGATTTGAACCTTGATCTCACAGAGTCCAAGTCTAATACTCAAACCATTGTGCCATAGTGGCTCTCCCACTTATGTAGCCATAGCTTAAAAATAAGAGCAACATGTGTTCTTTTAAATTATTTTTAAGTGATGGGAAACAACTTCTGATTTTACCTTTAATTTAATGAGTCTCTTGCTTATCATTACAGGTGCTCTGTAATAATGACATGTTTTTTTTCATGAAACAGGAGCTCTGATGTGCAGAATGGCAAGAGTTTGCATGAAACAAGAGTTTGGGTATGAAAGATAATCAGGTTTTGCATATAAGAGGAGCTGTGGTTAACAGATTGCTTGTGGTTTCTTTAAAAACTATTACAATAATGATGTAACAAATTAAGAGTGTTCACCACTGACATTTATATAAATGAATTAGATTTCATTACCATATAGTTAATGAAATGAACCCAGCTTTTAAAATTCAATGTAAATTCATCTTGGCTTTGTGCTATTTGATGCCATGCAGTCTCTGGTCTGGGAAATACAAAGTACTTTTTAATTTTCCTTTCTATCTTCTTTGAGTAGATATGTCTCCCAGAGAATGGGCAATAGGATGATGGGACACTGAAGAAGTGGGAAAGAGAAGGAAGGGTGTTATTCCAGATGTGAATTAAGGGGGGAAGCAGACTGGCGGTACGGGGCCGCCCTGGGAAGGTGCGCCACAGGATCGAGGCATCCCCATGCCTCGATCCTGTGGCGCTCCTTCCCCGTCCCTGAAAGGAGCGCTAAAATAGCGCTCCTTTCACAAGTCAGTGAAAGTGTGCCTCAAAAGCGTGAGGCGCAGTTTCGCTGACTTATCCGCTGCAGTGTGTCAGGACGCTGTGGCGGGAGGTTGCCCCCGGAGTGCCGGCCATGCGGGAGGAGGAAGGGGCGCCGAGCGTGCGGCTGCCCCTCCTCTTCCCTGCCTCGAGGACGGCTTAATAAACTGTCTGCTGAGGCCCTTAATAGAGAGAGAGAAGCCAATAACTGCCTTCAGCACCATATCTGTTGACTAGATCAAACTCTCTATGGATCTCTTTAATTGTGTTTCAGAATCTGAATTGTTTTAAGTGGAAATTAATTGACATAAATGTTTCATAGATTGCTTCCTTAGCACATGGCAAAGCTATCAGTAGTTAAACTGTAGCCTTTAAAACATTGCTCTCAATTTCTAATTTAATGGGGATTCTTACATATTTCAGTACATAGACTTGAAGTAATTTTCAACCCAACCATCTTTTGTAACAAGAAAAAAGTAGCATTTTAGTAGTGTCATTTGCAGGGATTTGCTGTAGAGCATGCAATTTATTGCTATATATTTGTGAACAAGGTTAAGAGTTTATAATATCCTGTCTCCATGTAATCTGATACTATATGGTGCTTTTATTTCCTGACTCATATCTGGATTAATCTGAAAAATTCATTCATGCCTGGTGCTGTCTCCTGTGACTGATTATATATTATGAAATACTGTCTTTATGATTTTTGAAATGACAGATGGATTTCTTTAGGCAGCAACTGTGGTTTAATATGATTGAAAAGATCATATCTAGAAATCATAACTTCCCTAAAGCATTGATTTTAAAAAAGGTAAGCAACAAGCATGTGCATGTTTTTGTTTTTACGTTCTTCTTGACAGTGCTTATTAGCAGCCCACATATGTTCCTGCAAATGCTTTAAGATGCAATCTTATACATGTCAATTAAAGTAAATGTGGATAAGAAAAAAGTATCTGAGAGATACCCAGATGGCTATTTGCCCTCACTTTGCTATTTGGATTAGTAAGGAATCACAGGAAGATCTTCATAAATAGCAGATGGTTGTTCAGGTATTCAGAATCACAGCTTATATCTGCAAAAATCTTTTCAGAAGAAAGGATTCTAGGACCATTTCAGTCAATAAAATTGAGAACACTGCATCTAGTCAAATATATGCTAACATCACTCACTCACAGGGTTTATTCTAAACTTTCTCCCATAAACTGCATAAGAAAGCAGAGGGCACATACCGAGGAGGACACACTTCTCCTCAGTAAGTACTCAGCACCATCTGTTATTTTGCATGAGCATGCAGTACATCACAGAATGTGACAGAGACCATCTCACTGTGACATTGACTGAATATGCATTGGCAGTACTAACCTTGACTGTGGAGCAAATCGCATTTAGCAAAATTTCTAAAATTGTGAAAATCATTACAAAATGTGGTGGTGAAAAGCAAAACATTCTAGATGGCATTAAACCCTGCAGTCATAGTTCAAAAAGAGTGCTGTATGCAATTGACAATGGCTGCAGCAACACAGAGTTAAAACAGGCTGCTGCAAAAAGGCAAGAGCTCTTATAAATGATAGCTTCACTTATTACTGGTTGGAACATCTAAATGCTGATTATAAATCCACATGGGCTATCTGCAAATGGAAAGGAGGGGAAGGAGGAAGGATGGAGGAAGCTGGGTAGGTAATTTGGCAAATAAACATTCAGATTTCATAATACTATAGATAATTTGACAGTTATCAAAATTCTGTGGCTTTATTTACTATTGGCTCCAGAGACATCAGTGGGAATGGCTTCTTTTTAAAAAGTACAGTGTTCCAAAAAATTTACTGTCTTAAAGGCCCTGTGCTCCTGCTCTCATCTAGTGAAAAGGATGAAGATTGTTCATTTATTAGAACTATAAAACCAAACAATCCCTTATGGATGGATATTTTGTTTGCTTGTTTTGGTGCAATGTATTCTGAAATTTAAAAAAAAAATCAGCTCTAGGTAGGACTGCTGCTTTTTGTGCTGGGAATTGCCTCTGATTGTTCAGTAACATGGGAAGAATTGTATGTTTGTTTCATACCCCCATAAGAACTATAGTAACAGATAGAGCAACTAACAGGGACATTTCCTTTGACTCCTTCTCCCACAGATGGATCCAAAGCAACTAGACATATTTTCATACATATTCTATCCTTGGTCACAAATAGAGCAATCAGGCAGTTGGTCCAAATAATAAATTATTAATATAAAGTTATGAAGTCAAAATGTAACAGAAATGCTATTTCTTTATCTTTTTCTCATTTATTTGTTTTAAGAAATATTTTTTTGTGCTGGGAATTGCCTCTTTTTTTTTTTTAATCAAAGCCCATATTTGCCAACTGCACAACATCCATTTCCTACTGCACATTTTGTTTTCCTACTGAACAAAATGTGGGTAGCTGCATATTAGAATAATGCTTGGTTGTTCACCTTTTAGTTCCCAATTAAAACTGAAATAATCAGAGCTTCTCTCCAGAATGCTTTCACTTCATGTTCACTTTCATGTTCCACAAGGAATGACATTCCATGTTTGATGGCGGTTGCACCCATACATATTCTTTTCAGCAAATTTTCCTAATGTGTCAAGATGACATGCTACATGTTACACTACACCCATTTTTAGACACCTGCACAATATTACCAACTTTATAGAAAAGGTAGTGTGGCAGGATTCTGCCCATTCCAGAGCCTGTCATGATACCACAAATTGGTTGTCTTAAATTGTCACCTCACTATAAAGGAAAAGTGACAGTTGAGTTTTGAGATCCAATATGAACTTTAGGAGTGGGGATATCCAGGTAATTTGACAATGATTCCAGAAGAGGTTTGGTTGTTGTTGTTGCCATGTGCCTTCAAGTCATTTCTGACTTATGGTGACCCTAAGGTGAACCTATCATGGGGTTTTCTTGGCAACATTTGTTCAGAGGAAGTTTGCCATTGCTTCCCAGAACAGGACATCAGTCTAAAGTTGGAACTTGATTTGTAAAAAAAAGTCCTAGTATCATCCCACTCAAACAGAATGCTATACAGATAAGGTGTAAGAAGAAAAGGACTAGAACATTGCTTTATATGGCAAATGGACACTGAATTGTTTCATAGTATTAGCAGTTATCTAAAATCAACTATGTATATGGAGTATTCTGTAGGGGACAAATGTATCAGAAAGCCCCAGCCATCATGAATATATATCATTGTTGTCTGATTTATTTCATCTACTAGACACCAAAATGCTTCCCAGACAGAGTAGAATCTAATAACTGATTAACTGATTACAAGAAGGTTTAATCAATAATTAGTGCTGTACACTGCTAGCCTATCCCTGGATAGTTCCATGGATCATATTAAGCAACACCTAGGGTCAGGGAAAGTCCCCATGGAATTCTGAGAAATGAGCCAACCAGATTAAATTTGCACTAGACACTTTTGCTGCTGGGAACAGGGGTAGAGAACATGGCCATGTTTGCTCATCCAGAATCCTCTAAATGATGTTCTTTCGGTACTCATTGCCCTCCAGTGAAGGCCTGAGGCCAGAAGTGCTTTCAATGAGGGTAAAATTGGGACACAGAATGTTTTTCACAAAATGCAAAACTTTGCAAGATTGACTTTTCACAGGCTGTATGGCTTCTGAATCTTAATGGATTGCTGAGATTTCAGATTTGCACCAAAAGCTATTTTGTAGAATACATCCTATCTGCATCAACCCCAGCTGTTCAACTGGTGGCTCATTGCTGAAGCTGGGTAAATGCTTTCAGCTGATGTTGAAAAAAGAAAGAAAAGTACAGGGCTATGTCTATGTACTTCCAAATAATGAATTGGACTCAATCAATTTTCCATTTATACTTTGTTTAAAATCTTTTCAGACAGGTTTTATGTGAACCATATTTTATTAAGAATAAAAAAGGGGGATAGGTGACTGCGAAAGTATAATTCTGGTGACAGTATCCACACATAATCCTTACATTTTGTCATTTATTTGTGTTCTTAACCAAGGTGGTAATCGCATTTCCTGGAGAAATAGAGGCTGAAACAAAGCCATATCCTTTTGAGAGCCCAGAAATCTACCATCCACCAAAGAGAATTGTTAAAATATTTTCATACTGTTGTTTGTTGTTTCCCTTCACAATGAAGGTGAAGACCAGGCACAGTGAGACCAAAGTCTCTTCAGAAGGTTGATTTCTTCCACCATTTTAAATTCATGCCTTAACTCTAAGCACCAGCTATTTTTCAAAGCTTGGAGGTAACACAT